TCAGGACGATCTATTAACAATCCTTTTACGGTTTAGACAACACAAGTACGTTATTGTAGCTGATATTGAGAAAATGTATAGGTGCATAGAAGTTGATGTGAAAGAAAGACCACTTCAACAAATTGTTTGGCGCAGTCAAATCGAACCTAACTCTTTATTAAAATGTTATGCATTAAATAGAGTGAGTTATGGAACCGCTAGCGCTCCTTATCTAGCTACGCGTTGTTTAAAACAAATTGGTCTAGAGTGTGAGGATCCAAAAATAAGTGAAATAATAATTCACGATTTTTACGTCGACGATTTTTTAAGTGGAGGAGATACTTTAAATGAAGTCATACACATACGAAATCAAGTCACTTCTGAATTGGCTTCTGCTTGTATGCCTCTTAGAAAATGGAAGTCCAATGACCCTCGACTACTGCCTGAAATCAATCAGTTGCCATCTGACATAAACATTTGTAGCAACGGTAGTGGTAAGACATTGGGCCTCGGATGGTGTTCTGAATCAGATGAGTTTTATTTTGACATCAGTTCTACCATAGTTAAGGGATACACAAAGCGTGATATTCTGTCGGTCATCGCTCAAATCTTTGATCCATTAGGTTTGCTATCACCTTGTGTTATTCGCATGAAAATTCTATTACAGAGACTGTGGCTACAGAAACTATCTTGGGATGATGAATTGCCGCTGGAAATAAAAAATGCCTGGGTCCAGCTGGCTGAAAATCTACCAAGTTTGAACTGCCTACGTGTACCGAGACGTGTTGTCTGTGATTCAGCTTCAAGGTTGGAATTACACATTTTCACGGACGCGTCGGAGCGTGCGTATGGTTCTTGTGTTTATGTTCGTAGCGTAAACAGTCAAGGTGAGGTTTCAAACAATTTATTACTTGCCAAAAGTCGAGTGGCTCCAATAAAGGTCACGACAATACCACGACTGGAGTTATGTGGAGCCGTAATCGGTGCTCATTTGTATGAACAGGCTATCACTGCACTACGAGCACATGTGGATCAGGTTATCATTTGGACTGACTCCATGATTGTCTTAGGTTGGCTTAGAATGTTACCGTCTAAGTTACAGCCGTTTGTTCGTAATCGCGTTGCTATTATTTTAGAAAAAACTGAAAAATGTACTTGGCGACATGTTCCGACTAAAGAAAACCCCGCGGATTTAATATCACGCGGCATTGATATTTGTTCACTTCAGTCGTGCTCTTTGTGGTGGCATGGACCAGATTATTTAAAACGCGATCCATCGCACTGGCCTGCTACAGCAAACACTACTGAAAACTTGCCTGAAACTCGTAATGATATCTCATTACATGTTCGTGAATCAAGTCAGCATGAACTCATAGATTTCAATCGTTTCTCAAAATTGCTTAGGCTCCAACGCACTGTAGCATATGTTTTAAGATTTATAAATAATTTAAAAAAGGAAACGATACGTAAAACGAATTTTTTAGATTCTGATGAACTTGAAAAAGCCATGATTGTCATTTTACGCCAGTCACAGATTCAGTCATTTCCGGAATATAAGTTGTTAATTACAGGCAAGGACTTGCCGAAGAAAAGTCCACTTATAAAGTTTAATGTTTATTTAGATAACAATGATTTAATTCGCGTTGGAGGTCGATTAGAAAATTCAAATTTTTCATTTGAAAAGAAACACCCTATAATTATACAGTCCACACATCAAGTAACTAAGTTAATTTTTGAATTTGAACATAAAAAATTAATGCATGCCGGTCCTCAACTTTTATTGGCTACGATTAGAGAAACTTATTGGCCCATAGGCGGTCGAAATCTCGCAAAGAGGTGTTTTCGGCAGTGCATGCGTTGTCAACGTATGAATGGAAAATCATTTAATCCGTTAATGGGTAATTTACCTCAGCAGCGTCTTCAACCTGGTGGCTATCCGTTTGATAGTGTAGGTGTAGATTACGCCGGCCCGGTGGCCGTCGCGAGTCGTACTGGTCGCGGATGTAGGCTTATTAAATCCTACATTGCACTTTTTGTATGTTTCACGACTAAGGCGGTACATCTGGAGTTGGTGGGTGATTTAACGAGCAATAACTATTTATTAGCGTTGCGTAGATTTATATCACGCAGAGGAAAGCCCACTCATATATTTTCTGATAACGGTACCTCATTTGTGGGCGCTTATAACGATATTTCAAAATTTTTAAATAGTAATAGTGACTCACTGGCTTCGGATATGGCACAAGAGGGTATTCGTTTTCATTTTATACCTGCTTATAGTCCTACTTTCGGTGGCCTCTGGGAGGCCGGTATCAAGTCCTGTAAATTTCATTTAAATAGAGTGCTGGGCCAATGTAATTTAACGTTCGAGGAGCTCACTACCACGTTAGTACAAATCGAGGCGATACTTAATTCTCGGCCACTCTCTCCGTTGTCATCGGACCCCGCAGACTTGACACCACTCACACCCGGTCATTTTCTCATCGGCCGTCCACTAACTGCTTTGCCGGACCGGAATTACAGTGGCTATCCTACCAGTAGATTGACACGTTACCAGCGCATTGAACAGTTACGTCAGCATTTTTGGGCAAGATGGAGCAAGGAATACGTTAGTGAACTTCAACAACGAGTCAAATGGCAATCTGACGGATACTCTTTGAAGATCGATACTCTTGTCCTGTTGAAGGAAGATGGTCTTCCACCGTTAAAGTGGAAACTTGGACGTATTGTGGCTGTTCATCCCGGTACCAGTGACAACGTATGTCGTGTTGCGGACATAAGAACGGCGAACGGTGTTGTCCGAAGAAGTTATAGCAGGATAGTACCACTAATGATGCCTGGTGAAGATTTGGTTGAAGGACAAGTCTTCAACGCGCGGGGGCATGTTCGAAACGAATAATCGACTCGCCGCATCACTAGTTTTAAGTTGCTGTAACGTTTTTTTTTCATTATTTTATTCCTTTTCTGTTGGTTCAAGCGAGTACACGCATTTGTAAAAAACCCGAATTTTATTAATTTGCACCTTTTAATACCAGACCCCTACAGAAGGATTTTTCCAAATCTTATGAAGCTTATCAAGGTTGTTCCTCTTTTTAAATCCGGTAATAGGGAAGACCATAGTAATTATAGACCTATATCAATATTACCGACGTTAAGTAAAATCTTTGAAAAATAATGCTTGAACAGTTATTGTCTTACTTTAAATAAATTACTGCATTCTAAACAATATGGTTTCACAAAAGGTCGCTCTACTACTGATGCTGGTGTAGCACTTCTTAAACATAATATTGAAGGCTTGGGAGGCATCACAGAATGCTCTTGGAGTATTTTGTGACTTATCCAAGGCATTTGATTGCGTTGAGTATCGAAAAGGTAACGAAGCTAAATTATTATGATATCAAAGACTCTGTCCTACAACTATTTTGTCGTATCTCAGTTTCAGAACTAAAACTATTGATATAACAGCCTATACTGAAAAAAAGAACATTTTGATTTGATTTGATTTAATACAACCATAAGAGGACCTGTCGTTATTTATCATTTAAAAAAAATGATAAATGACGACAGGTCCTCTAACGAAAGTATATCCCGAGACGCAAACTTACTGCAAAGGCTAATAAGGTTCTTAGTTAAAAATAAAACCATTAAAATCTATAAATATCAGCTTTTGTGGCATGATAAAAATTAAATTATCCAATTTTTTGAGAGCTTTCATTCCGTTTTGTATTATAAAATCAAAAGTAAAAGCAAATAGGTATATACTCAGCAAACGATCTCAAGACTTCGTTAGCCTATTTCACCAAAAGGAGCCTTTTTATCTCTAACGATTCCTACCAACTCCTGATAAAGACTCTTCTCTTAGGGTTGCAACAAATATAAAACAATTTTGCAATCAGTGCAAATTTTTTTCTGTAATGATTATGTATCGTATTTAGAACATAATACATTAAAAATGTTTATAAAGTTATACCTTAAATGATGTTAATAATTTCATACTCTTTTTAGTATTTATTAAGCTCTACAGTGCACGATTTTTCTTATTTGAACAGAAAAAAATTATAAGCTGAGCTTTAAATGTTACCTGCTTTTGTAGAAGAATAATTTCAAAAATCCTTTTTTTTAATGTTTCAGTATGTACCAGATATGTCACAAAAAACGTTTAGGGTATATGAAGATTTATATCTAGTATAACTTACTCTTAGCAAGAATAAAATAAAACAGCAATATTAATTGTGATATATTGCAGTTCAAAATTAAACCATAATTATGTAAATTATAGTAAGCATGGACACTATAATATATTAGAAAATAGGAACAAATTGAGATCAGTTATCATTATGTGAAGTCTCTTTCCTGTTGAATGGCATTTTACTCTTTATTTATGAAATTTACATATGGAATGACATAAAATAATTTTTACCTTTATTCAGGTACACCCACATTTTTCGCCACCTTACATTTTTCGCAGTTTACAGAAGATTTCCCCTTACAACCAGTAAAGTTACAGCGTTGTCTAGAAGTTAACCATAACGGGAAGTGGTCGATGCCATCAGTCCTGGCGTCTTTGTGTGGCACGATAACTTTTGGCTTTTCTTTTCATCCTTTCTTCCGACATATCAGAAACGAAGGATGATGGTCATTCTCACTTACATGTAAGTGATAGTTTAAGCAAAGAGCTATTACGACTATTTTCATATTTATTTTAATATATGAATTTGAACCTTTATCAATAAAAATTGGTCATTTATCGACCAGAAGAGGCAACGTGTTTAAAAAATCCAACTTTTTGACGGTGTTAGTAAGTTAAAAAGATAAAGATTAAAATATTATATTTTCGCAGCCATTACAAACCATTCTTGTAAATCATATTCCAAAAGAATTTGGCACAGAGAAATGTTTCTATAGCTTAGAAGAATTTCTCGATTTTATTTTGGGACATTTAAGGGTAAAAATAATTAGCAAAAAAAAGACTCATGTTTATATTTAGTGAAAAGATCTAACAAAATGCACGATATTCATGTTTACTTACTTTCTATCTAGAAATCCAATTGTTATATAATTAAACATAAAAAATTGTAAGTAGTTATTATATGGATTACTAATCCACGCACAATAATAATAATAGTCTTGCCAGCCCGACATTTATACGTATAACACTTATAAAACACCATACAATATATACATTCATACAAAACTAGCTTACTTAAAACATTGTTCAAATGTAATTTATTTTGCTTTGCAATAGGGATGATGACTAATTTTTGTTTGTTTATCCGTCAGATAGAGTGTTAAAAAATATTAAACACGTATTTTTTCGTAATCATAAAATTACGGCGTTACATTGAGTTGAAATTTCGCATGACGACACGTTAGAGTACGTTTTCTACTCAACTGTGACGTAGCGAGCCCCCACTCCTCAACTTTAATGCCTGTTATCTAAGCTATTTCTTGTTAAGTTGAAGTAAAAAAAAAAATACTATCTAATATAATATAAATAAAAAATATGTATCTAATATAAAAATATTAGATACATATTTTTCTATTATTTGACTGACGGACTAAATAAAATTGCATTTTTTTTACCCAGTCATCATCCCTATTAGTAATTTTAGATGCACATTTACAAATTTCTTATTCGATATAATTTTTCCGATTGAAGTCAGGGGTTGCTAAATATTTTTAAATGTTTATTTAAAATTTAACACTTTTTAAAATGAGTCTTCGGTTACGTATACGATATGTGATATTTTGGCAACCCTACATCCTTAATGGCCAAGTTAATTTATTTAAAGGTAAGAAATATCCAACCTCACTCCGAGCTTTTACAGGTTAAAATTAACTCTGAATTCCGATGCAAATTTTCAACGAATATCAAATACTTTTCGGAAGTAAATTAACTGATGATTATACTAATTTATTTGAAGTTTGAACCAAGACAAAATGGATATGTCAATCAAAAGACCGCATAAGCTAATTCCGAGTTGATAAAAAAAGTAAAAATGAGAATTAATAACATTTTTCTCGACAAAACGAACTGGATTTATATTTAAAAAATACTATACTATAGGATAATAAACTTTATGTCGAGCCTAGTCATAGGATGGGTGACCAAAAATTTTCTATTTTGAGTCCTCCGTACTTCGAAACACACGTCAAAATGGGTTTCGGCTTCATTTGCCGTCGTTAACGCCTACCAACTCGCGTTGAGCTTGCGGATTTTTCTTTACACAGCCATACAAAACAGTCACCCTGTTCGTTTGTTTATTATGCTTTCACGGTCAAACCACTATGATGAATTGGTCTGAAAATTAGCTGTTAATTAACAGACTTCAAAAAAGTTAAAATAAAAATTAAGGCGAGGTTGTTCCAGATTACAACTTTTTAGACAAATTTCATTCTAAGGCTATGCGAATATTTGCCAATTATGTGAAATTTACATTTCAGTAGGTTTGCTAAATACTGAAATGTAAATCAATCACGGGAGTAATCGACTGGATAGAAAAAAATCTGACTATAATGACTATAAATATTATGTTTAACAGTTTTTTGGATCGAATTGACGACTAATATATTTCATATTAACTAAGTACCTATATAACGGCGGGTAATCCGAAGGGGCTATTACGAAGCCCAAATAGATGGTCCATATCGGAGGACTATCTTTAAAATAACACTACAGGCGTGGTATACCAACGTGGATTTGTTCCATTTATCACTTTTCATACGAAAATATAACGAGATGAGCTTGATGTCATCGGATGTCTTTACTTCTCGGCGATTGGAAACAGAATGTCTACCAAAATGGCGGCAACTTGCTTTTTATTAACGAACTGTCAAAGTCAGTGTTACCATTCTAATAACATTAAGGGTATCGATGATCACGCTCTCTTTACAATCGAGTAATTAAGTAATCAAGTAACTAGCAATTAAAATAAAAGAAACTAAATCAAACGATTTTCGTAATGATGATGCGACATATATAAATGTATACTTATACAAAATTAGGCTTTGATATGATCTAAAGGAAGCTAAATTTGCGAACCAATCCACCCAACATTCCTTACTGGGCTCGTGTGTAGGTCGCAATGCGATTGGTGGCGATATAGCGTACATAGGTTATCGTAATGGATGATCCAATAATTACCTCTATGTCCTCAATATTGAAACACAGGCCCTATAGATGAAATCCAATCAAAACAAATAGAGGGAATTGGCCAAGACCAACCATACGAGCCCAGAACATATTGGTAGATCGTAGAACGGCTGCAGATGCAGCTACCACAAAACGGTTAAACGTGACTTTTGAAGCACGGCGGAGTTCGAGATAATAATTTTTGGTCACCCATCCTATGACAGGAACATGTGAAAATTACTTAACAACAGTATCGCTGCGCCATCGACCTCAAAAATCTTAAATGTATTACAGTTTGAAAGGAATACCGGTTTAGTTTTTAACATAGAATCTGCTTTCAGATTAATATTTTTTATAAACAAAAAGTACTTACGATTCCATCACCGATATTCCGTATTACGCACGGCAGGAGTGCGGTGGATCCAGTTTGTGACGTTACCACCGTATTATTCTCTGTACTGAAATGCTTCTCTGGTGTATTACTGTACAGATCATCCAATGGTGGGAAGGAGACAGTGAGCTCATTCTGGTATGCCTTCTCTGTCGGTGAAGAGGACGGCGGTGGTGAAGGCGAAGGGCCTGCGAATAAACACCATTTTTTATGAAAATTAATATTAATGAGTGATTAACTATAAATAACAGTTTTTTATTTAAAATGTGTTTAAGACAATGATTATTGGAGAGTACCTATACTGGTTTCCATCTTTATAAAACAATGCAAAATAGGTATAGAAAGAAAAACGAGACTTAATACATCTTTTTTTAGTTTGTTTAATTAATGTATGATGCAATATTATTAACCTTTTTTTGAAATAAATTATCCAGACTATGTGTAAAATGTTCAGTTAGTTTTGTTTCAATATTAAGAATAATAATTTGTAAAATATACCGTACTACGCATCCGTCTTATACACTCAGAGACAGGTGTGTGGATATTGATCGCTAAATGTCGTGATTCATGAATCATTCTGATTGGTCGACAATCGAAATTGCGCTTCGAAATTTAGCCTTCTGCGTAGGTACATTGGTGAGCCACATCAGTTGTATCTTACGATATCTTGTCTTCAGGCCTGTGTAGGCAATATTGTGGGGTAACTCGGAGTAGTTTATTTCGTTATATGTAGCTTATTGCAAACAAAACACAAGAAATCAAGTTAAGTATAAATTCAATCAAATTTTTAAACTTCACATATGGAATCTGACGTACTGTTGACTGTACGCGCACGACGAAATAAAATTAAGTAAAAATTATATAGTAGACCTAGATTTGCTTTTAACGTTAAGTAACGATTTTATAATACAAAATGGAGCAGTTAGATTAACAAGCTTTGCTAACCTACAAATAAAAACAAAGAGTGACCCGTATCCCGCCAAGCCAAATATTGGGCTTCCGAAATTAACTCATCAACAAAAATTAAATGTTCCATAATCCTTTTACTCTATACCGAATCCGACCCTGATCCAACCGCACGTGAAATGGTTAGGCAAAATAAAGACCCGAAGAGGTAGAACATTTGTTTTTATTTGTTAAAATCGGACGGTTAGCAATATAAAGAAATAAAATTGGAAGGACTTAATTTAGGTATCGGATACCAATGGGCTTTTTTATTTCATGTATAATAGTCCCTGGTTTCGTTTACATAGATTCCTTAATCGTTATATCACTATGAAACGATTTTGTAATAGAAAGATAATACGAGTAATATTCACTATTAGTAACTGACATTGAAACTTGATTTCATTTAGTTTATGAATTTTTCTTTTTTCGCGATCAACATAAAATAACAAATACAATTAAAGTTTTAAATTTCCTATGCAATTGCGAAATCGAGAAAGCGTCTTAAACCGTAGTTCCTCGTAAACATTCAGTTGATAGCTGATTAATAAACTATTAACTTTTTGTCATGTGAAGCCTAAATAATTGAGAATAATTAGTTGAGATTGTGTACTTTTGTTAATTCAGAAACCTGTCGATTGCCCACGCGGTTTTTTCAAACCGCGTTTGTATATTAAACGATTCTGGTGTTTCGTTTTCATATGATTCAGATTGAATTTTAATTTTGTCATTTAAATACAATTAGCTGTTTTCCCGCGACTTGGAATGCATAAATTATAGCCTATGTCAACCCAGTATGATGTAGCAAATTTTTAAAATCGATCTTTTAGTTTCGGAGATTATTCGATGCAAATCAATTTTTTTTTTTACCAAGGGGAACTGACCTTAACATGCCATCCACCTTTATGAGAGGCCGACTGAACCCGGGCTCTCCTGCTACGGAGGTTAATACTATCAATCATGAAATTTCTTTTTAATTGGTAGTTTATGTATAAGTATGTAATTTCAGAATGTTGGAAACATTGGTACATATGTATGCTGTAACGTGAAATTATAGAATCATCCCAACTTGAAACTCTAAATAATTATAAATTCTGTAATCAAATGCCCTTTCATGATGTTATTGTTTCTGAAGTTTATGGGTAGATTCCCGTTCGGGTGGATATTTTCTTTTTATTTATAATTTTAATATTATACTGTAATTTAAATCATAACTGAATTATTTATTATTTTATTTTAAAAACTATATACCTATCGAGATGTTTTTCCAAAATAAGTTTGTCAACACAGTACCGTCTTAAACGGAAAATAAAGTCCCCTCTTAAATTGTATAATCGATAAGTTCGAAATGTCTTTGCGTTAGACTTTGCCCGAACGCTTATCGCGCTCATTTGAACACCCTTTACACCTCTGGATGTGGAGAGAGAAGGGAGATGTATTGCTTGGGTTTTCAGAGATAGCGGTTAGCGACACGATACATTTTAACGGGTAACCAACAGATTCTTAATATTATAAAATAATAAAATAAATTATTAAAAAAGCTTTTGTTTAATGTTAAGCGAGACTGCTTCTGACTGAGACTGACTGTTAAGCGAGACTGTTTTTGACTGAGACTGACTGTTAAGCGAGACTGTTGAGATTGCTTCGTAATCTGTACTTATGATGAAACTAGGTGTAAACAACAAACTTGTTTAACCCGGTGTCATTGGGCAGGGTCAATATGAAAAAAAGCTTAGCCCAAGTTTTGTAAAAACTTACATCGCCTTATGTAATTATAAATAAGGCTAAGCTTTTCTGAACCAACAAATTTCTTTAAATAAATATTCAATAAAACTCTTACGAGAAATGCGGGAAAGATTGAAAAATTATACCAGGTAAACATCTGAAGAACCTCCTACAAAACTCACCGGTGTTCGAAAAATATGCCAAAATGGTTCATATAAAATAGATAGAAAAACAAATCACTCATGTTACAGTTGGCAAAAGTTTATATTTGCTGAAACTTAATTCTTCATTGTAAAAACTACAATACATTGAAAGTATGAGTCCACAATAGTAGATTCTTGATATTTATAATATTCCATAGTTTAGTAGTATAGATTTGATACAACTAGTAATTTTACTAGAAACTATATTTTTTTGTTGATAAACAAATTTCAGAAGGGAGTGGCATATTTGTTCTTCAATTATCAGTCTATAAAATTAAAAACAAACACTATTTAACTTAATACCAACGTGTGTTAATATTTCCACGTTAGTCATAGTGGTATTTAAGAGAAGCAAATAATGATCAATACGTTCCTACTTATGAATCAATTATTTACTAAAGCTTGTTCGACAAGGCCTATCTATAAAGTTCTATAAACGAGTTTGTTATAAGAAAAAAAATTAATTAAAACGTGCAGTAAAGCCGGTAGTCAACCCAGTATACATATGTTTATAATTATATTACCTTAAAAAATTTGGTATATTATTTTTTAAAGAAGTTATTTATATTTTAGGACACAGAATTCCTTGTACATATATACGTTATTATGCTAAATTTCTATTAATTAATACGTTCAATTTCGTTTTAATGAAAGTAGTCGTGAACTGGCTTTTTTGAGCCTAATTTTATAATTATAGTTATATGTACAAGTATTTATTATGAGTGTAACATGGCTGGAATTGTGAAGAACGCTGTCCTCTCGAATGCAACCTTAAAAAGTTAACCCAAATATTATCGTACCGTTTTCTTATCGATTCATGTCGCCGATATTTAAGGAAAAAAAATTCACGTAGCGCTCATGTTAAGGTTGCAAGTTCATTACAAAATGAAAGGTTTGGTATAACAAAAACAGATGTGTTGAAATATGAATTGGTATGGTATAATAATATTAATGAATAACAGCTGAATCTGAATGATGGTAGTAACCATATTGTATTAGCTGAGGAATAGTGCCTCTTTCTAGCTAATTATAATTTTATATTATTTGACGTAAAAAGCGTAAAAAAATATTGACTTGGTGTGGTTCTGACGCTTAATAATAAAAATTACTTTTATTTGTATAAAATACCTTTCACGCGTGATATTTAATCAATTTTCAAACCTACTTAAAGTACTTTTGTATATTTTATAATCAGCAAACCTCATTCATAACATAATGGAGCGCGCTACTAATGTACCTATATTATTTATTTTATATTATCGGGTTGGCACAAAAGTAATGAGACACATGGTTTAAGTTTTTACTTTTTTATTATTATTACAATAAAAAAAGTTAAGTCAATGATATAATTACCATTAGTATCTAAGACTTCTTGCCAACGATCCGGCAAAGTTTGGATGCCTTTTGCCCAGAATGCCTCTGATGGCTGTGCCTCGAAAAAGTTGTTCAACTCCGCCTCTACGTCAGAGAAATCATTAAATTGTTTACCCCGCAAATGCTGTTTCAGGGCTCTAAACAAATGATAGTCTGATGGGGCGAGGTCTGGGGAATAAGGTGGGTATCGTCTCCCAGCCCAAGTTCTCCAACTGCCGGCGAACCACAGATGCGACGTGAGGTCGAGCGTTATCGTGCAGTAAAACTACATTGACTCGTCTTCGTCGTTTTTTCTTGATAGCGGCAGATAATTTGGTAAGTTGGGTTGAATATTTGTCAGCGTTTATAGTTTCATTGTGTAATAGCTCATAAAACAGTATGCCTTGCGCATCCCAGAAACAGCAATACAGAATTTTTCGGCGGTTCTTTTGACTCGGCTTCGGTTGAGTTGGTGGCGTTTCTTCTCGAGGCAGCCAAAAGACACGACATGTATCGTTCTCGTAATAAATCCATGATTCATCTCCAGTAACCAGATCTAACAAAAACTCTTTACGTCGGGGTCGCAGCAAAAGTGACTGACAGATAGCGACACGGACTGCACGACTGGCGTCTGTAAGGATGTGCGGTACCCACTGAGCCAAAACTTTTCGATTACCAAGCTCATGCAGATGGTGTTCCACGGCGTGGTGACTGCATTTAAGTGCTTCCGCTAATTCACGAGTGGTAGCATCCGGATTCAACTGCAGTTCGCGGCGCAAATCGTCATCATTCACTGCGGGTGGTCGCCCTGAGCGTGGCTGACTTTCAAGGCTCCTGTCTCCTGATTTAAAACGGTCAAACCATCGGGACACCGTCGCATGGCTTGTACTTCCAGCGCCTTATGCATTGTTGATATTGTCAGCCGCGCACTGTGGCCTAACAAGTACTCGTATAAGTATAGTGTTCGAACTTGTCGCTTGTCTATTTTTCTTCAAACTGACTAAACAAATCGCGAGCGCGGCTTTATATACCCTACACCAGAAGTACCTAGAATGTTCTACAACATTCTAGAATATTATCGAAAAAATTGATTTTAAAAAGGAAATGTTATAGATTTTTCTAGTGTGTCTCATTACTTTTGTGCCAACCCAATACTCTACTAGGTACACATCTCTGACATATAAAACAACATAAATTAAGGGTTTGCGTATATTTATTCCTAGAAGTCTACTGTATCTGACAGTTACACAAAGCCTGACTATACGTTTCATTGCCGTACATACGAAATTACAATCTGTTGGCAAAATTTTACACTACTAATAACAGTATTTAAAAATCACCTTTTCAAAAAATTCGGAACATTTTGTATTTATTTCTTAAAATTTACTTCATTCAACTCAACTATAGTGGTTAAAGATAATATTTAGGCGCGTTATTTACTATCATGTATAATTTATCATCACCATTAGCTTATTAATGTCCTCATTGGGGCAATAATTCTTCCAAATAGATGGAACCGAATCAAATAGGAGGCCATATCCTATCATGTTTATATACCAACATGATCACCTATTGATGGGTGCTTCTGACTGCAGATGTACCATGTTCAATTGATACATCAAATCAAGTATGTGTCTTTTTACACGAGTGCTCAAAAAAGGAATGTATTGTGTTATGGGTCAATGTATATAGGATATGTAGGATATATGTATGTAGTTTCTTTATTCCATCATACATTTAAAAAGACTAACGAGATATTAGAAACGTTACATCACCCCGAATGATACAGGCTATATATTTAATATGGAGGAAGTATGGCGCCATTTTTTTTAAATGATAACCTGTTTTCTTTAATTAACCTAATATCAATTTAAAGGTTTTGATTAATACATTTCAAAAATATGTTACTTGTAAACACATACAGGTCACTAAAAGGTATAACATAAAAATAAGGAAACACGGCTGCTAAAATAGGACTTAAAAGAGACAAGTTGTATTATGCCTTGGCTAAAGAAAATTGTCATAGCAGTCGGGGATCTTTGGTAATATTCTACAGAACTACCCCCAACTGCAATAAGAATTTTGCTTAGCCAACCCATAATAGAACTTATATCTTTTATTTTTAGTTACATTGTGACGGTGGTGTTTTAAATTTTAAGGTTTTTTTATCGGATCTCGTCTTATTCTATTTCAAATGTTATCATACCTTCCCCGGCACCTGTGACGGTGTGTATGAGGAGCACCACGACGCAGATGCACTGATGTCTCTCCACCGCCATCGCAGCGGACACCTGAAGCAATACAAATTTCTAGTTAAAACGTGCTTTATAACAGACCAATAATTTTTTCGCCTACGATTTCGTCAACGTAAATTATACATTATGTCACCCAAGATGTAACTTCCTGTAGGTAAAAGATTTTTTAAAATCGGTCCAGTGATTTTAGAGTCTATTTAATGCAAACAAATAAACCAAAAAACAATCAATTCCTCTTCAGGATACACTAGAGAATATTTAAGTCATTTCAAAAATGTTGAACCATTTAATACTGGTAGAGGCAATCAAACTAAATATCACGATGACAGGGAACTTGGGTATAACAGGGAAATTGGTCAGGTGGATGATATAGTAATTAATACAACAATGCTGATTTCACCCTTGAAATTCTGATTTCAGTTGCTTTGAAATCAATAAACAGTAAATCAGTCATGTTAACGTCATATAAAATTTCGACAATACAAAAATGTGCTTTTTTCAATTGAGTGATGGCATCATCTGTGTGTGATACGTAATGTTGTAGTTGTGGCTTTGTCAAAAATTAAGGACAAAAATTCCAAGTCCTGACAGATTAGTTACGGTCAAAAACCTGATTGATCAAATGCCTTACTTCCAAAATTGGAACATCACCGTGACACAATTCGAGGGCTAAATTGGTACCAGTGATTGTCAATCCTTATGGGATTAAATTACGAAACCACCATTCCAGCTCCTAATGCCTTTTAATGAATTATTCACAAATTGTAACTGATTTCTATTATTCGTTGTCTCCAGTTTCGAAGCGGAAATTCGAGTACTTTGTCTTGTTGGTTTAGGATGTCCAATTTAATATTAAGTGCTGGTAAATATTTAATCACCCATTAAGGAAATAAAGCAGGTGAACCATAGAAGGGATAATAGCAAACACTTCTCTTTCACAATGGATAAACATTTTTTATAAGAAATTCTTTTGTATAAGAGAAGTTCGACTTACGTGCATATAAAGTAATTTAGTTACATAAATTAAATATAAAATTTTTATTTATTTTAAATCCTTTTTGATTTAGTAAATAACTAAGAAAATAGTAATAAATCATAAATTATAACATTGAAAAGTATAATAATATTTCTTAGATTGTGTGAGAGTACGGAAGTATGATTTTCTCTCGAGAACGGCTGGGCCGATTTAGCTGATTTTGGTTTTGAAACGTTTGTTATAGTCCAGGGAAAGTCACAACGAATCGATATCCAAATAAACAGTTCCCTAGGGAAACGAGGGTGAAACCGCCGGCGGAAATCTGGTATATTATAAAAATCTTATTACATGTTACCAATGGAAAAGCTTTATTTTTTAAATAGAACCTATCGTTGAATTAATAACCTACAGAAAACCTTTGCACGACTTAAATAGCATTTTCTTGACTAAGTCACTTTTGAGATAAGTATTATTTTCACTTTTTTAAGTTTATAGTCGGTTCTATTGTTTTTGTTTTTTTTTTCATGCTTTTTGGTGATATTAATATTTTTATAAAATAGGTAACACTAAAAATACTTTTCTGAACCCTGCGTCAAAACCGTGTTAAAGTGCGAAACTTCATTTTTAGTCGGTTAATATACTGAAAACCATCGCCTAAGTCTGACAAATACTATGCGGAAAACCGTATCAAACCGTTTCAGCCAAACGCGAGATAATCACGCACACACCCACATACATACATACAGGTCAAACTGAGAATCTCCCATTTTTAAAGTCGGTTAAAAATTGCGTTATTATTTAACAACATACATACATATATTATTTATTTATATATGTATGTATGTTGTTATTTATTTTTCTGCTTATTATAACCTATTATATTACTTAATTTTAATTCTTATTTCAGTCGATTTACTCTTACTTATATTGTAATTTTTTTGTTATTTTAAATATGAGTTAGCTGTGTGGCACTATGATATATGTAGTGAAATAGATATAATTATATGCTTGATAATGTTAGTTTTTGGTTAAATCCAAGACGCCTGTTATCGGCTTATCAATTTTAAATATAAAATATTGGAATAATCAGTTATAAGCTGTTGCAAACCCAAATAAAATAAATAAAGAGATAAATATGATTATATTATTAAATAGAAACAACAAAATTCTATCTCAATCCTTATCCGTCACTTTTGTTTTAAAGTTTTATCATTTCGAGCAGAGAATATTCTACAATCAATCAATTTAACGAGTAACATAACCAAGTATAACAGATAATAAAGTTAAAAAGAAACTTAGATAAAACTTAGTCCATGTTAAAGTTTATGAATTACCACTTTTGTAAGAAATAAGTTGGCGAGCTACCATTATTTCACTGAGTGCTGTTAAGTTGCTACTTTACCAATAAATAAGTAGCATTAAGTTTGTTATAATGTCATTTAAATATTTATACAATTTAAATATAAATCCTTTAAAATTTTAGAAAACAAACTTTATATATTTTGAGCTATACTCGTACTAAGTATACGTATTTCTACATCGCACTGTGTTGGTCAAGATTGAGTTTTAAAATAATAGTATAATATATAATAAAAAAAAATAGCTTTCCTTTGTTCTGCACTAAAATGCGTAAATGCTGTGTTCTAAAATTTTGTTTTCAAAGAAGTGTAAACTTTAGATTTGTGTTTATTTATTCCATCTGAATTTCAAATTGGATAATAACAAACTAACATCGTTTTTTAATAAATATAAAGTGCTAAAAATAATCAACATGGTTTTCAACACTTACCGCTTTTGACTTAATTAACGAAATATTAATGAGTATTAACAAAAGCAAATATACAACAGCTCTTTTCTTTGATATGTCAAAGGCATTCGATTTCGTTTCTCATGAACAAATACTAAAAAAATCGCTGCGGCAAGTTATACAAAAGTCTGAAGAATACTGAAGGGTAGAGCCACTAGACTTGAGATGTAAAGACAATGACATTTTCTTTGTTGTATAATTGAACATAATCTACGGCGATACCACGATAAAGTAGACGTTATGTAACATTAAACTAAGCAATCAAAGTATTTGAAAAAATCCAACGCCAACAAAATAGTGAATTTCCATTACAAAGAATCTTTGCTTTTATTATTAGCACGTGCCACTTGAATTTTTCAAGAATACATAAACAATTGACATACTAAAGTTTATCCATTGTTTGAAACAAAATTATCGAACTAATTCCAGAATATTATGGCCCAACAAATCAAATCTCCCGAAAGCCTATTACGCCTTCTGTGTCAGTATAATTTATTTGAGACCCAAATACAATGGAAACTGTCAATTATATTATTTAAGCAACTAGAATGTTCCGCACATTGGGGATCTTTGTTGTGGGTTCCTGAGCTCCCGTGAGAATAATCTCCATCTCAGTAATAATATTAATATTAATACTGAGTACATTAGAAGCCTTTCATCATTGAATCAGAATATTATAAGTGAATATTTTTTTACGAAACACATCAGCTCAAGGTGCTCCACGGAGTTGGTTATGAATTACTATAATACGATCTTTACTTGCTTTAAGTGTTTGCTTGATGTAAATTTAGAAAATAAACATTTTATTTGATAACTTTTATTATTCACTCGTTTAAATATTCATCTTTAACGCATTCAAGATTTTTTCTTAGAATAATCTCTTTCTTAAACAAAGTAAAAATCATTTCTACATAAATCCTTCTGGAACATATGATTTTGATAATTTACTTCTGTAATATAATCAATTTGCATAATTGAATTTGTTAGTATGGATCTGTTTTTTAAAATTTTACTACATCATCTTTAAATTTATACCTAATCCCTTGCCGGATAGAAAGAATCGAGCGCCATATTACACACGTATGCTGTTTCAAAATTAATAATTATTTTTTGTAGCTTTTCATATTACCTTACAATAAATCAGTCTGATTGTAAAAGGTGATTGCTACCTGCTGTTGTCAGCTTCTATATTCTTTCAAACCTCATTGGTGAATTATAGAATACATCTTAACCTAAGGTAGGTATTTATTTAATCACGAAATGTAATCTAGGTATATCTGTTTTATAAGTGTATCTTGTATTTATGTGGCTTTTCCTTAATAATCACGCATCATGTTAATTAGGAATGAAACGTTTTTATTGTCTCCTTTTAGCTTCTTTTGAAGTAAATGAGCAATTACCATCCATCCGTAAGTCCAGGGATTGTGGGTGGCTTACATCGATTTTGAGGGTGTTGCTAACAAAATGAGTTTAGTGAAACGCGGAAAAATAATACATTTTTTGTGTTGACAAGGATATGTAGAAAAGGAAATATAATGAAGTGACCGCAGCCCTACACTTTATGCTCTAGTAAAATGATCATCAAGCAATTGTTAGAAAAGGCTTATGTTAAAACTCCTATATATTTTATAAGAATAATTTTAAATCTTATTTAAAATTTATTTATTACTAGTCGTGCCAGGTTTAAGATATTGATTAGTAATAGTTAGTTACGTAATGTCGCTGTTGATGTTATGTTCGATAAGAAATTTGACTTTCATTAATATTTTTTGGATGATCAGATTTTATCCTCAATCGATCACTGCTCTTAATAGATTTGATCTTGTTTTCAGTTTTGTCTTTACACCTAGCCTTTAATATTTTCCTGAAAGATGGGTCAAGTAGGTGAGATCTTGCCAGCTTACTTCAATGAACTGGGCCTCAATTTTTACGATTTCTTGCATTTTGCTATTGTAATATATATCTGAAGTTCAATAACATTAGTACGATGTTTTCCACATAAAGTAATAGATGACAGTTACATTTAATTATTTTGTGATCTAGTTACAAGAACTGTGTCACAAAAGGTTGTAAGCGCTATTGACTTTCATTAATTACCCTAACCTTAGCTCGTAGAATTAATTGCCTTACAGTACTGGGATCGTCTCGAACACCCACACCTGCAATCTGGCGTGTAAATTAAACAAAGAAATAAATAATGGACAATATCTCATGCATTGCTCAGATCCAAAATTATGAAGT